TTAATGTGTTTTCTTTCTATTTTAATTCATTAGACTACTATGTCTTTATCTATTTCGTAGTCAAAGATGATAATTAAATCGTATTCGTATTCTGTATAGTTTTACTTGTGGTGATTTACCATATCATTTACACGAAAACTTGAATAAAATGAAAATTTTGGTATATAACAATATCTTGTCCTATGATTAATAGTAGTATAACTCAATATTATGAGTCATCAATATTTTTTTCTTTTATACCATTTTGTAGCGCAAACATTTCTGCATCTGTAATACCAAATTTTTTTTCTCTAATGATTTATTTTAGGTCTGAAATAATTTGAGAAAGAGAGTGGGGTATGCTAGAAAAAAACACTTTTTTTCGATGATTCGATTAATTAGAAAAATAGTTAATTGTTTCCAATGAATGTTATCTTATTTTACACGTATAGATAGAGGACAGTAAGATGAACAACTTTGCCTTGAGAAGTACTAGTCGAATTTGTACTGTAGAAGTGAGAGAGGTTTCAAAAGTGCTCTCCAGCTAAAATAGCTGGAACAATCCGAATTACCCGGACAAGTTTGCTTAGGTGATCCGAATTACCCGGAATCCATTTTTTCCTTAAAAAACCTAGTTAATAGAGGTGTCAGTGTTACAAATACTACATCACAACGGTTCGTTCATTTATTGAGATATTTTCAGGTCCCATAGAAGACACTTTGGGCTATTCAACCATATCATTTTTTTCCATATATTAATGGATAAAAAATGAGTTATGAGATGGGAAAATACGTTCCATACATTTTTGCTGGAATGATCCGAATTACCCCAACTAGATTGACTTATTGATCCGAATTATCCTAAATGGGGCAATTCGGATCAGCACGACAGACCTTTTGCCATTTTGACTATAACGTTTTTTCAGCAAAAGGTTTTTAAAAAATTCTTTCAACATTGGAAAGAGCACAGTTTGTTCTAGTTACACTCCAAAAATCACCCCGTTACGATGTACAGTAAATGAGAACGAATAAAAATAAAATCGATTTTCTAGTTTGTGATCCGAATTGCCCCACCTGAGTGTAATTATAATTTATTACATCAACTAAGTACATAGAACGAATGACAAAAAACAAAACCAATACTGGGATTATATTTGTCATTCTTATATTTAGGAGTGGATGTACCATAGTTGTAACTGTATATTCGGGTAAAGAGAACACCCATGTCGACATTCACACCCAAAATGTTTGTCTAGGTATTAGTAGGGTTTCAGTTTATAAAAAGAAGTTTTTACTCAAAATGCGAATCCAAATATTCATTTAACTTGTTTGTGAAATAAGACACTTTTTCCCAAAAAAAAAATATACTATCAAAACTGTGCTCTAACGTGTTTGTAAAAAAAACTCATTGTGCTCAGTAAAAGAACGTCAAAAAGCGCGTCTAATTGTATGAGAGGCAAAGCATTAAACACTCATAAAAGCAAACGCGTTTGAACGATACTTAAAATAGCGTTGTAAGTAAAAAAAAAACGTCAGTTCACATGCGTTGCAAAAAAATGTAACTTCACATGTTAAAATAAATAACGGTGTGTTCCAATGTAGAAAAAAGTTTTTTAAAGTTAGCGTTGAAATGCTGTTCTGCACAATTTCTTTCTCATGGAGACTAAGAGAGATGAAATGCGGAGGAAAATGCAACTCGTATATAGACTCCATTTTTGTACTGTAAACTTTTTGATCGTCGTCTGATCGTTTTAGTGCTAAGAGGACGTTTATATTAATATTAATGGATAAGTTCCTTTGGAATCTTCCTCGCTTTTATTTGATAAAAACTTACACGCCATATCACACTCACGCATACAACAACTATATAATATTAGATCAATTAAATCAGAGAGAAACGCTCGTATATACATCTGTTAGGAACGACATCTTTTCTTATGTTTTTTCTTTCATGTCACTTTTGTTCGTGATCTTTCTTCTCCTCTTCTTTTCTTCATTTCGATATTTATACGTATATGTGCGGGCATAACTATTGTATGACGGACATTTTTTTATTTCTTAATAAATATAGAAGAAAGGTCAACATATTGTTGAATCGAACTCCAAGTGCAAAACATTATCTAACAACATTATCACACACATCCCGGATTGAGGGGAGGGACAAACGAACACAACATAGAAATCACAATGTGATCGAAAGATATCACATTGACTAAAGGGATGATCTCGTAAGAAGAATAGTAACATATCGAGGAAAAAGAAAGAAGAAGGAGAGAAATCGAGATGCAGATGAAATCAAGGACGAAAGAGTAAATAGGTTCATAAGAGAAAGGAGAAAATGGAAGACAAACTGTCAAAGTGGAGCCTGTAATAATTAGTTACGTAAATTGGCCGGAAAGAATAGAGAAAGCGACAAAAAGGAGAAGAACAAAGAGAAAAAAAACGAAGAAATGGAAAAAAGAAAGAACAAACAAAGGTAGGTTAGACGATTTCTGAGAATTCTACAAAGCATTGAAAACTTCTTTCATTCAGCATAAATACATGAATCTGTCATGCAATTAGATGACTTCGACATTGTGGCTATACTAAACATCTTCTTGAATGGCTAGCATCTATTTGTTTTAATTTTGTATTAGTTTTCCTTTCTTCTTCTCTTCCATCTACTTTCTTACTGCCCGTCTAGTTCGTATAACTTTTTTAAATCTTTCCT